GGGCACGAAAAGAACCAGAACTCAAAAGGGAGGGTGTAGCCATGGCAACCTCTTCCTCTTACCTCCAACTCTTGCATGTTGTCTTCATTCTCCCCTCTGCCAACTAGCCTCTCACCACCCCGCATCTACTCATCCATTTAGCTACTCACCCATTATGTGCAAGGCACTGTTCTAAGTGCTGTATAAAAATCCTCATTCTCAGGAATTTACCTTCTAGAGTGGGGAGGTGACATTTCGAAATTATATAGCATATCAGGAGGTAAGTGGCATGGAGAAAAACGAGCTGTGGAGGGAAATGCAGATGAGTTGCCATTTTAAATAAGATGATTCAGGAAGGCATGGTTGAAGTGATATAAAGACTTAAAGGCCCTGAGGGATTAGGCCAGGGGTGATCCGGGGAGAAGGCTTCTGGCAGATGAAGCAGCACATGTGGGTGTGTGAGTGCTCAGAAGTGGGAGCAAGGAGGATGGAGTGACATGAGCAAAGGGGACAGGAATAGGGGCCGAAGGCAAGGAGCTAGGTGTGCAGGGCTTTGGGAGCCCCACTGGCGGGTTCTGAGCTGAGGAATGACACAATTGGACTTGTAACAGGGCTATTCTGGTCACTGTATTGAGAAGAGACTAAAGGAGTTAGGGCAGCTCTGCCATGTTAGACAACCTCCTTTTCCCTTAATTTCCTCAAAGTGTAAAAGCAGGAGGTAATGGTCTTTGTTGATAGGGTGGGTATGAGGAGTAAATGAGTTTGTCAATGTAAAGCACTTCGTTCAGTGTCGCCTATGATAAGCACACTGTATGTTTTTGCTAATATTATTATTATTATGGCTCTAACGTGAAGTCCTAGAACCATGTGGCATATAGGACAGTTAGAAAAAATAGGTTTTTTTTTCATAATTTCACTTATTAATTTCTTGGGGAAAGGTTCATTGAATGGATGATATAATTCTTTAAACAAAGCTACTCCTAAAAACCTAAAATTGTAAATGGAACTCATTTCCTCACACAATCTCGGTCACACCCCATTGACACATTTGTGGTTCAGGATTCCAGTAATTCAGTGGGCTTCTAATTAAGAGCTTACATCACACTAAAAGGTTTTTGCACAATGAAGGAAACCATCAACAAAACAAAAAGACAACCTACTGAATGGGAGAAGATACTCGCAAATGATATCTATCTATATATATAAAAGCCTAAGCGACTGAACAACTGATTGGTCGCTATGACGTGCACTGACCACCAGAGGACAGATGCTCAATGCACAGAATCGGGCTCCCTCCTGTCTGGATCGGGCCTGTCTGACCCAGGATTGGGTCAAAACTGGCTACCCAACATCCCCTGAGGGGTCCCAGATTGCGAGAGGGCACAGGCGGGGCTGAGGGACCCCCACCAGGGCACAAATCTATGCACCAGGCCTCTAGTATTCCATAAGTGGTTAACATCCAAATTATATAAGGAACTCATACAACTCAACACCCCTCCCCCCCCAAAAAAAAACCCAAACCCCAATCTAATTTAAAAATGGGGCCCTTGCTGGTTTGGCTCAGTGGATAGAGTGTCAGCCTGCAGACTGAAGAGTTCCAGGTATGATTCCAGTCAAGGGCACATACCCGAGTTGCAGGTCAATCTCAGGCCCCAGTCGGGGCACATAGGAGGCAACCAATCAATGTGTCTTTCTCTGTTTCTCCCTCTCCCTTCCACTCTCTAAAAAATCAATGGAAAAATATCCTCGGGTGAGGATTAACAACAACAAAAATAAAGTTAAAAATAAATAAGTAAAAATAAAATAATTTTTAAAACATGGGCAGAGGAACTGAATAGACATTTATTCAAAGAGAACATACAGATGGCCAACAGACATATGAAAAGGTGCTTAACATCACTAATCATCAGGGAAATGCAAATCAAAACGCAGCAGGAGAGCAATTGAGATTTTGCTCACAGGCATATGTCCTCGTTTTGGCTCAAATAAACTCTTATAAAAATGAAAAACAAAAAACCCCCCACAAGATACCATCTCACACCTGTCAGAATGGCTATCATTAAAAAAAAAAATCAAGTGCTGGCCCTAGCAGTTTGGTTCAGTGGATAGAGCTTCAGCCTGCAGACTGGAGGGTCCCAGGTTTGATTCTGCTCAAGGGCACACAGGTATGATTCCAGTCAAGGGCACATACCCGAGTTGCAGGCTCAATCTCAGGCCCTAGTCGGGGCACATGGGAGGCAACCAATCAATGTGTCTTTCTCTGTTTCTCCCTCTCCCTTCCACTCTCTAAAAAATCAATGGAAAAATATCCTCGGGTGAGGATTAACAACAACAAAAATAAAGTTAAAAATAAATAAGTAAAAATAAAATAATTTTTAAAACATGGGCAGAGGAACTGAATAGACATTTATTCAAAGAGAACATACAGATGGCCAACAGACATATGAAAAGGTGCTTAACATCACTAATCATCAGGGAAATGCAAATCAAAACGCAGCAGGAGAGCAATTGAGATTTTGCTCACAGGCATATGTCCTCGTTTTGGCTCAAATAAACTCTTATAAAAATGAAAAACAAAAAACCCCCCACAAGATACCATCTCACACCTGTCAGAATGGCTATCATTAAAAAAAAAAAAAAATCAAGTGCTGGCCCTAGCAGTTTGGCTCAGTGGATAGAGCTTCAGCTAGGAGGGTCCCAGGTTTGATTCTGCTCAAGGGCACATGCCCGAGTTGTGGGCTCCATCTCCAGTAGGGGGAGTGCAGGAGTCAGCCAATCAATGATTCTCTCTCATCATTGATGCTTCTATCTCTCCCTCTCCTTTCCTCTCTGAAATCAATAAAAATATATTTAAAAAAATATCAAGTGCTGGCAAGGATGTGGACAAAAGGGAACTCCTGTGCGCTGTTGATGGATTGAAAATTGGTGCAGCCACTATGGAAAATAGATGGAGACTCCTTGAAAAACTAAAGATAAAACTGCCATGTGACCCAGCAATAGCACTTCTGGGTATTTATCTGAAGAAAACAAAAACACTAATTTGCAAAGATATATGCAGCCCTATGTTCATTGCAGTGTTAGTTAGAATAGCCAAGATTTAGAAGCAACCTAGATGTCCATTGATAGATACAGAGAATAAGCTGTTGGTTGCCAAAGAGGAGGGGTAGGATGGTTGGGAAAAAAATGCTGAGCTTCTTCTATTAATGCCATTAGAAACATTACTAAACACAAATCATTGTGTGGAACTAATAGAAACAGAGCAGAAACCAGTTCCTTTATTTATGATTTTTTAAAAAACTGTGATGTGTGAGATATGGAATAAATTATATGGTAAGGTGAGTATAATGTGATTAGTCTAAATTGGACAGAATATGAAAAAGTTGCGGGAGATATCTTACACAATTCTTTTGGTTGCAATTCAGAGACCCTATTTTGTATCTTATGATGGACTGCACACACACAGAAAAGCTGTGTGGTTTGGTTAAGGAATGACACAATAAGAGGCAGTGTAACATAGACATCCACACCTGAAACCTGTATGTTTATGTTGACCAATGTCAACCCAATAAATTTAATTTTAAAAAAAGGGGCAGCATAATGTAGAGTTAAGGGTGTATGACAGACCTTATTTCAAATAACAGATCTACCAAGGACTAGGACTGTAGGAAATTTATTTAATTTTCTGTGGTTCAATTTCTTTAGGCCTAAAGGGCAGGGGATGATCATGGGGGATAACTTAAGGTTTGAAGCCTGCACCTGAGTAGAGAGAAATTTCTAAATCCATCCAGCTAGTTAAAACAAGTCCTATCTTTGGTTTGTGACAACATGGATGGACCTAGAGATACTAAGCTTTCCAGGAGTTTTCCATTAAGTAGATGAGGGTCTGGCAATTGCAGTAGGAACTGCTCAGAGTTCTTAGTCATTATCAGCTGTGGCTGTTTTAGAACCAGCTATGGTGAACAAGCTAGATAGGAGCTGCTGCAGGTGGAAAGTTTTTCTTTTAGAGTCCGTATGTGTTTCAATGTCCTTTTTCACTGAAGATTGTACTTATAAGATTTATCCATGTTGATACTTGTAGGGGATGAAGAAGAGACATCACGGATGACACCCAAATTTTGGTGTACAGCCACTGAGTGAATGGTGCGGGAAAGGCAAGGAAGAGAACAGCTCTGCAGTGGGAGTGGCGATAGTGACTTGTGGGCAGTGGGACATCGCAGAGGAAGTTGTAAATTACATTTAACTTACCCTCCCTCCCCCTTTAAGGTGCTTCTCAAGCAGCCTCACTAAAACAAACACCGAAGTAAGCACATTATCTTCTAGACGGTGGCCACCAAATTCTCTGCAGGTGAAAAGGGGTCCCTGTAGTAGGCCAACGACATGGTCAGGCTTAGTGACGATCCTCCCGGTGGCCCGCAGCTAGCGTACCCCTAGTCGCGTGACCCTCCATTAATGGGGTCCTTCGGGATCCAGCCTCAGACGTCCTCCTCCAGCTTCGGTGGCCTCCACTACCGGCCTGACCCATTCATCCGGCCTCTTGCAAGACCCGACTCAAACTCCGGGTTTTCGGCTTCTAGCCACGCAGGTTGCGAGCTGGGACCAGCGCGGGAGGAAACTCTCAGCGGCCCGGCGGGATTCTCAGTCTTGCGCCATTCCCCGCCTCAAGCC